GTTAACAAAATAATCATATTATCTGGATACGCTTGTTGCTTATTAAAGCAAAAAGTAGAATTATATCAAAGGTATACAATTCATTAAATGACAATTTGACTGTATGTATTTTATTTGAAGGTCGCAGATTAAGTGCGATTTTTCCGCACCGTTGGCTGTCATGCTTTGTTTGGCATCCCCAAATCACTTTCTGATTCGCGGCTGTTAACTTGACGATGGTACTTCCAGAAGAGCATACCTTGCAGTTTTGTAGGTGTGAAGTGGAAATAAGCAAAGTGCGTGTTTTTTACATGTCACGACTTTTCCACGGGTGAACCTTAGCGGAGTTGAGAAAAAACAGGAAAAACTGATTTTAAAAACTGTCACTGCCACTGCCACTGCGCTATTGTATTTTGGGCTTAACTTTCAATTGTAAGGGCAAGGAAAAATACCCCATTCCTGATAATATGAAAGTTTTAAACGTTCCATATTTAAATTGGGGACCACTGTATCAACTCACGTAAGCGAACATTTAGTACATTCAAAGCTTTTCTTCGCGAAACTCTAATCAAAATACTGCCAGAAAACTTCAAAATGCATCTTGTAGTTCAATGTTACTACAACTATAGAGATTAAAGTTTTGTGAGTTAAAAACTAGAAAAGATAAAATACACTCTAAAAAGTGCATGTAAAACTACTACTGAAAAGTGTTTATTTTTCAACCAGAATCTGTTCAAGTATACGCACAAGATGTTCAAGATTTGGTTTTGAACATGAATTGTTTAAAATATACACATAAATATACACATGAAATGTTTAAAGTTGCAAACATTTTGAAAGTAAAAATATATGTTTTACAAAAAACAAATACTAAGGGGCGCACGCAGGAATATATTTTTAGGGGGAAAGACTTTATACTTCTAAATATATATCATCAGAAAATACTGAAAATTCGCTCTTTAAAATACATTTATGCACGTTTTATGTACAGAATGAAATAAAAAATAAACTTTTTAAAGTTTCATAAATTGCATTTTATTTACATAAAATTTACAAAGAACTCAGACATTTTCAACCGGCTTCAAAAAAGGGGAGGTTATCAATTCTTCGGAGTATTTTTACTTCTTTTATTTATTCCACCGCATAACTTTGCACTGCGTGAACCGATTTTTTTACCGGAAAGATAATACCTTAAAGGTCGTCCCGTAATTTGGTTTAGATCCGATCATTAAATCATGAAAAAATTAACGGTTAAAGATGCACTCAACTTTCAAAAGTAATACAAAATTTTACAAATTTATTTTAATATAAATAAATTAAATAATTTCACGAAATTTTTACACTTTTTTATTAATTTCCGTCGATTTCTGGTTTCTCATTTTTTAATACTTCGAATAACGAAAATTTAGCTGAACTTGTATTTTTATAATGTAGCTCATTTTGGTGGAACGAATTCCAAGTTAGCAAATTAAATCTTCGAATGCTTGTTAAGTACATATCAGTGGTAAACTTTTTTAGGCTGTAAAGTGTAAAAAGCAACTGTAAGTGAGCATGCATTGCATATTTTTAGGACAATGTTTTCATTCGCAGTTAAACTTTAAAGAGCTCTCAAGAAAAAAGAAAAATTCCTTACAAAATGGCACACAAGAATTGGAAAAGAAATTTTTAATTTTAATAAATTTAACCCCAAAACCCACCCCTTGTGTACGCTACGTGACAAATTTGATATTTAAAAGTAAACAGACAGTGCTTAATTTTGCACACAGTAGGAGGAAACTGGTTACCTCTCTTTATATGCGTAAATTTAAACGAAAATTTTTTAGAGGAAATTTTAAACATTTTATGTGTAAACTATGAAAATGTGAACAATAAATGTTTAAAACTCAAAAAAACCAATTTGAAATTTGTTCTACGCCACACATATTATAAGTAAAAGTAAGCAAGCAGTGTGTAAATTTGCATTCATTAAGAGAGGAAACGAGTTACCTATCTTAATATGCGCAAATTTAAACAACAATTTTTTGGACTGTAGTCAAAGATCAAAGTAGAACAAATTTTTCATATAATGAAACTACTTCATAGTTTTTCTCTTTTTACTTGTAAAATAAACATTTCTAACATAAATTTATCTATGTATATTTTAAGTATTTTTAGTTTTTTTCCTATTTTGGTGCCTTCTTTTGCCTTTTTCCGATTTCTAGTGACTTTACCTGCATATTTCGCTATTTGATTTTGCCTTTTCTAGCCTATTTCGTTAAATTATTTTGCCTTTTTTATAGGTTTTGAGGTCCTAAAAATCCGTTCCTTGGTTATTACGCTCTGTAATCCGGTTATATTGACTTGGTTTTCTATGATTCTTCTCTGTTCGTAGGCATGTAGGCACAGTAAATAAAAGGAAATTGACCGGAGCGAGAACGATGGAGATAGGTTGGAATAAAAGGCGTATAAATACTCATGTGAATAAACTTACAATCAGCGTTGCCGTTTTGATACAATTGTATCAACTTTTTTTTTCAATTTTAAGATTTGATACTTTGATACTTTTTTGTTCACAAATGCCCCATTTTGATACTTTTGGCTGGGAGGAATGAATTTTTGAAAACTATGAATAATATTACTAGATTAAAGGCAAATAATTTTTTGCTTGGCCCTAGCCACATAAAAACAATACGCATTGTTTGTACTAAATTTCACAGTTATTGCGCTAAAATCAAAATCATTTTGATATTTTACTCATGCTTGTGTATTGTACAATAATTTGTGATGCGCATGACGAAAACAGCGCAATTTTTAGTCTAGTTTTGACATTTTGGTGTGCAGATCGTGCTGCAAAATGGATAAGAGCGTAGAAAAAAATAATTTTTTTTTAATATTATTTTCTTGCGTTTAATGCTGAAGCTATCAAAATATACAACGCGAATTCACATTTCTCCAAAATAAGGTTTGCGCATTTTTATTGTGTAGTAATTTCCGCAATATTGACTTGTACAAGTCTCGGGTTGCGCAATGATTTTGTGTAGTTTAGGGGCCCTATAAGTTTGTTTTTCGTTGTGCAAGTAAGCATACAGATTCTCTGTTTTTGTTAAAGCAAGTAATATTAATTTGTTTAAACTATGGAATCAATTATACAATTTTTTTTTATTATTTGTTTTTCAAATAAAAGCTTAAAAAATAACAGTTGTGTTTGCTTTCGATACTCTTTGATACTTTTTCTGCTTGGCAACTGTTACTTTTTTCAAGCTCGCGGCAACATTGCTTACCATACCATTCATTGGGGAAAGTATAAATACACACATAAGTAGGAATATATTTACATATGAAATCGGGATAGTGCGTAGGTACATAGTATTTAACAGAGGTGTGGGCACGAAGGAATTGTGCATGGACCCTAATACACGTTTCTTAACCACGCCCGACCCTCTTCTATTACCTCCCGACCGACTTTATATATAGTTGTTATAATCTGATAATTCTTGAGTTGATACTTATATTTTAAAAATTAATTTTTTGCTTTTTAGTTCAATTGTGATATATCTTTATGAAAATGGTTATTTTTTAAACAAACTGTATGTCGTTCAAAGGTACAGTATTTTTTTATGAAATTAAAACTGAATGTTTGGAGCATACAACAACGTGCGAAAAAACAAAAAAAAATTTAAAACACACGAAAGAATCGATATACCCACGAGACTATGGGCACAATATGGTAAAACTGTGTTTTTCATTTTTCACTTTGGCGTCATGATTTTTTTAAAGGACTTTGAAATTTTAATGATATGTTTAATTCAAAAAATTATTTAATAAAAACAGTGCAATGTAGAATTACAATTTGGGTACTAATGAGAGAGATATTAAAAACGATAAAGTTTTTTGGGTTACAAGGACGAATAGGTATTGAAAATGCGCTTTTAATAAATTTTATCTTTTTAAGTTAATAAAGTTTGCAGGACGAAATTCGATGATGAGGTCATGTGTATATTTGTCCCCAAACAATAAGCAAAAAAAATAAATAAAATTGCAAGTTTTCAAGGCCCTTTAAGCACAAAATTTCGAAAGGACATTTTCCATACTCATTCATTCTTTATGCACAAAAAAATTTAAGTTGTTATTTCTGCCGAATTTTTTATTTAATATGATACCCATATTGTTGTCCTACATTGCACCGAACTTTTTAAAATAATTTTTTTAAATAATTATATTTTTTAAATTTCAAAGTCCCTTAAAAAAATCCTTGCGTCAGAGAGAAAAACTATGTATGCAGTTTTACTATCATTTACCCATGGTTTTGCAAATATATTCATTTCTTTGAGTAAAATTTACTGTCGCACGGTGTATTTAATGCTTTTGGATTTCTATTTTTTTTAATTATAGGTTAATAATAATAATAGGTTAATTTAGCTAATTTCACCATTCACGATACCAGCATCCTGGTACAATCAACCCACAAGAACATACACGGCCAATCGAGAACCAACACATGATGGCACCAGCATGCTGGTATCTTGGACCCTTTTAGGTTTTTTAACAAATTATAACAAAAATTTGCTCCAGCTTTTGCTGAAAGGTAAATAAAAGCTCGCTGTACAGTTTTAGCGCATAACTTCAAAAATGCCAAATCTTGAGTCGTGCCTCTTTTGATAAAGGTGTGCGATATGGTATTTCTTCTAATTCGTTTTTCAAAAGGCAAATATTTTTCCTTGCCACAATAGCATTAGAAGACATTACTTTAACATGGGCATATCATTGGCAGTAATGGCTTGCAGACGAATTTGGGTTTCCTGTAAGGTGTTAAGGAAACGAAAGACAGTTAGAAATTAATTTAGAATCCAAAGAAAAGCTGGTAAGCGAAAGGGGAACCGCTTACAAAATTATTTCGATTCCACATTCGTTTCTTTCAAGTGCGGTGGCGTTTAAATTGATAAAAATGTTCACATATAAATACATACAAACATATGTATATACATAGTATGTATGCTTTTGCGTAATATAGTGTATTAGTAAGCCAAAGAGAGTAGACTCACCTGCAATTTTACTGTCATAAGCTACGCCAACGCCGCATATTCCATTATCTCTGGCGGCAGCCACTTCGCCGGCACATCGAGTTCCATGACTGCAATGAAAGGAAGAAATACCAAAAGTAAAGATTAATACCCAGGACGAAGTAACCTTCATGATGGAGGCATATTATGGTATTTGGTTAAGGATATAAATACATACATACATATCGTCGTTTAAAGTACAAAACCGCGTATCAGTGAAATGCAACACCGGTGACAGGTAACAAGATCAACGGAAATAAGGTCAATTGACATACCTTATTAATCCCATACTGGTGCGAAATAAAGTGAATTGACATAATTGACACCTTTTCAAAAGCAAAATAAAGTCAACAAAAATTTGGAAATAAAGTAAATGATGCCATTTCCTCTTTCAAATGGAAATAGCGTCAACAATACTTAAAGTATGTCGATTCAATGAAAAAATGTTGTTCACGTACGTGTTGCATCGTACGTGAGATATGAATGTTGTTACAATAAACATTGCCCCGTGAGTGTTGTTTCCATAGATGAAAGAGGTTATTGCCAAATCATCAGTGCTACATAGTAATCAACATTGATTTTATTAAAAAATTTAAAATTACGAATATAATAAACACAGGATGCGAAAAACCAAACTGGAATACGAGAAATATTTGAAGAAAGAACGTAGAAATGATCAAGAACTTCCCAAACATGTTTCGTTCCAAAAATAAAACGTACACTATTAAATTGAAGAAACTGTGGATCGCCGCAATGTCCAAAACCCCGGAGGAGCCCTGAAAGAATTGCTTTTAAATAGCATATTTTGAACGAATTCGGAATGTCTTAGGTGGAAAAGAAAGCTTTTGTATAAGGAAACAGTTAAAGAAAAGGAATTTTCTTACACTATATTCTTGTCGCCGCCAACAATTTGTGACATCATTTAAAAGCAGCTAAGGAGAACGACAATATTTATTAGATGGCACATTCAAATCAGTGCCAATATGCTAGTATAAACAATTGTTGATTATTTATGTAAGATCATGTTAGTTGATTGATTGATTTTCACATACTTTCGAAACACAAATTATATGTTTTTTTACTGCAGATAGGTTGTTGCCAACACAGAAAAACTATTCCAATAACTTACAAATGCATATAAAAATGGAAAATAAGCAAGAAGCAATATTTTCATATGAAGCAAAATGGCTTTGAAAGCTAATTTAATCGCCTTTCAAGGAAAAATATTGCCATTGAGCCACAATCACTCCTTGGTCTTAAGATCTTGATCAAAAATAGTGTTCTTTGAAAAAAAAACTATACTAATATTATAGATTTTGAGACGAGAAACACGATTCCACTTTCCAACTTTCAACTCCTCAATTTGAAAAATCCATTATATATTGCATTTTTTTATTTGCATACAGCTGTGCATACTTCACACAATTTTTATCCCTCGAACAACAAGTCAGTTTTAGTGCTATTCAAGACCTTTAATTTTAGCCAAGGTAGAAGTCTATAGGCCCTTTGAGAGCTAAATTATTACGATTCTAAAGTTAAACTTCGAAGTTTCATTCGACATTTTCGGAGTAAAGCGTTTCGAAGTTTGGTTTAAAATTGTTATAACTTGGCTCACAGAGGGCCTAGACGCTTCAACCTTGGCTCAAATTAAAGGCCTTGAATTGCACTTATTGTTCGAGGGATATAAAATTGAGTGAAGGATGAACAGCTGCATGCAAAAAGAAAAAAAAATGCAATAAATAATGAATTTTTTAAATTAAGGTGTTCAAATTTTTGTTCGAATTTTGAACAGTGGAATCGTGTTGCTCGTCTCAAAATCTATAATACTAGTGTAATAAAAAATACATTAATTTTTTGTTTTGGAATAAATCCCATGTATTTTGCATGTTTCTTTTCGAAGAACACTACTTTTGACCAATTTTTTTAAGGTCAGGGGGTAATTGTGGCTCAATGGCCACAATTGAAAGGGATTTACTTTAGCTTTCAAAACCATTTTGTTTCGTATCAAAATACTGCTTCTGTCGAAAGCGCTCCGGTTAATTATATTCGTATTCATATTCATCTTTATTCAGTGTATGATTTACAATCTTACAGACTAGAAGTAGGCTAAAAAGTATTAACGGTGACTAGTACCTGTACAATTAGCAAAATAGGTTTCAAGAGATGATTTAAAAAGACTTCTTGGAAACGAAAAGTCGATATCTAAGCTCTTTGAGATATTGTTAAATTCCACAAGGCCTCGAAAAATAGGCGCAAAAGATGGGTAGTTAGTCTTAACGGCAGGAACGTAAAAGGGGATGTGAGAGCGAAGAGTTCTGAGAGGTACATTAAAGGTAACTTGCTCAAGAAGAGATGGGCAGTCAATGAAGCCCGAGATAAGTTCGAAGACGAATAAGAGTAATTGGGTACGCCTTATATTTTTCAATGATAGCAAATTTATTAGTTTACACCGGGAGTAATATGAGGGAATCGGATCCGAGAAGTTAAGAGAAGCGAGGGCAAAGCGAATAAACACCTTTTGAACTCGCTCAATCCTAGAGGCGTGACAACTATAAATAGGGCCCCTAATAATAGAGGCATACTCAAGTTTAGATCGCACTAAGGAATTAAATAATGCTTTCCGAGTGTAAGGGTCTCTAAAATCCTTGGCATATCTACGAATAAATGCTAAATTACTATAAACTTTTGGGAGTAAATGGCAAACATGATTTATAAATGAAAAATTCGAGTCAAACACAACACCAAGATAAACAAATTTACCAAAAGAAGTAACCTGATGGTTTACGGGGTAGTAATTTGAAGTAAGCGTATTTTGAGATTTAGGTAAGGTCATCTTAGATCACTTTTTTACATTCAAAGACAGTTTATTATATTCACACAAATTTAAAATACGATCTAAATCTTCCTGAAGAAAGAGAACATCAGATGAGGAGGTTATTCTACGAAAGAGTTTTAAATCATCGGCATACAAAAAACTGGCGTGTTTGAAACAGAAGCTAATTTCGTTTATAAAGAGGACAAACAATATGGGGCCAAGAATGCTACCCTGGGGTACACCTGATGTTACAACAAAGGGATTAGATTTACAATCATCGATATATACAGACAGAGACCTATTTGCAAGGTAAGACTTTAACCAAGCTAGGAAATTAGAGGGAGCACCAATGCACTCCAACTTATGTAGCAATAATAGGTGTGGTACCTTATCGAAGGCTTTAGAAAAGTCCGTATAAATGGTGTGTACCTGCGAGCCCTCTTTGAAGGAAGAAACACAAAATTCTGAAAAAGAAGCTGAATTAGTGACCGTTGAACGACAAGCTACTAAACCATGTTGGTGGGGCTCAATAATTCTTTTGGCAAGAAAAGAGAGTTTAAAATGTATCACTTTTTCGAATAGCTTTGAGCAGACAGACAGTTTCGAAATAGGCCTTTAATTTGTGATATAATTTCTATTTCCAGATTTAAAGACTCTTGGTTATAGAGGCAACTTTCCATCTGTTAATAAATAATCCAGTCGAAAGTGAGGTGAAAGGTGAAGGAGTGAAAGGTTGAATATATGACATAAATGAATACATAATGACAGACTTCATCGTTTAACGAAGGGGCACAAAAACCATCAGAATCACATTTCAATGTCGGAGTTAGGGTAGACATGGCGTAAGTAATGTCAGATGTCGAGACAATCAACGAGCCAAGATCTAGGCGTTGGGTCGGCCAGTAATTTCGTGGTAGATTTATAGAATCACTCTCACAGGCGAAATTCGAGCTGAAAAAAAAGTTCCACAGTATCTGGTAGAGATTTCGAAGATTGACCGTTAAAGTACATGCAAGTCGGAATATTAGAACTGCCCCGCTTAAAGCGTACGAAATTCCAAAAGCTTGAGGGTTGTCTTTAAGTTCAGATTCAAGTCTCCTAATGTACTGGTTATAAAGAAATTTATGAAGAACATTAAACTGTTTCGCATAGTTAAGGTATTGCTCTTTAAGGTGAGTATTGTGAATATTTGCCATATGGCGCTTGTAGCATTTATTTCTCTTATTTTTCAGATTTTTTAGAGTGACAGAGTACCAGGGTAATTTATGAGGCTTGGAGGGTAAAGCAGCCAGTTGCTCAGAGAAGACTTCAGACATAATGCAAAGAAAGATTTCATAAGAGGCGTTAGCATCTTTTGAATTGAAGATATCACACCAATTTACGTTATTTATAGCCAGGCTTATGACGTCGTAATTTGCATCATGAAAATTGTAGGAAATCCTATTATTTGAAACCATAAGGGGATTACGATGCATATCAGAATAACAGATCGGAGTCTTACATTCAGAGAGATTAGATATCAAATTTTCGTCTACAAACACTAGATCTAATAATTTAGATAACTTATTGAATATGCAATTAATTGGCGTAAGATTAAGGCTAACCAGTAAGAAAGTCTAAGTTCGGGCGGAGCCGAACATTAAATACCCGGCGCAAGTATTAATTATATGGGTTTTCACCTTTCCGAAAGCTACCGCTATATGGTGAGCCGGGGTGTATCAATTTTGAGTAAATTAGCGTCCTTAAATTTCGAAATATTGAAGTTTCAAGCATTTCTGAAATTTACCGTTATAAGAAAAGCGGCCGTAATTTTAGTCCGATTTCAATAATTTTCCACTTTTTGCTTTTATGTGGCAAGCACAATAAAAATACCGAGTTTGATACAAATCGGTAGAACGGTTACCGATATACATGTATGTGATACAAGTGGGCGGTGCCACGCCCATTTTAAAAAATTTTACCATAAGCGTATTTCTTGGTAAAGAATTTTTGCAAGCATCAATTTTGAATANCACTTTTTGCTTTTATGTGGCAAGCACAATAAAAATACCGAGTTTGATACAAATCGGTAGAACGGTTACCGATATACATGTATGTGATACAAGTGGGCGGTGCCACGCCCATTTTAAAAAATTTTACCATAAGCGTATTTCTTGGTAAAGAATTTTTGCAAGCATCAATTTTGAATAAATTAGCTATAGTATTTACTGATTTATCGAAGATTTTGTATTTCCCTAAATATATATATATGGGATG